AAGTTTTATCTGCGCTGGCTCAACTCTCCGCGGGGAATAAAGTGAAAACGATTTTTTATCAACGAAATCTCGAACGGCGCCGGAAAGAATTTTTAGTTTTATAAAATCTTTTAGAAGTTGGCGCGCGCGGAGAAGGGTAGTCGGGGGACTTTATAATGAGGCCGACTTGCTAAAGTGCTTGGAGAAGCGATTTGGTGCGAATTTTTTCAATTTTATTGACACTAAAATAATTGTCTAACCTGAGTCAGTCCAACACGAGTGCCCTAGTTGCCATTAAATTCCAAACGTAAATAAAAATTTCGATTAATACCGCGGCAATAATTCTTGTATGCGTTGCAGATTTCCAGGACGTGATTATTGGACGATACAAAGCATTGGGCAGCATAATTTATTGCTTGTTTTTTTGCTTTAAGTTGGCAACGTGTTAAGGTCGATTTATAAACTTGCCGCTGGCGTTGCCGCTCGCCGTTAACGTTGCGGTCCAGTTTGCGGTAGTGTGCAGTGCTGCCAACTTGAAGGAACATCCCCTGAAGTAGGGGGGACATTTCAAAGAAATTCTCATCTTTCAAATAGCTGCCATCATTTAAAACATGTTTAAAATGGTAAATTTTTGTAGGGAAGTATCGATTTTGCAATTAGGCTCCGCCCCTCGGTCTGACAACGAATGAAAAATTCATCACCAATGAGATCGAGACGGATGGGTGGGGCTTGTCTTTTTGAATTAATACATTTAGTTTTCTTTGTATAACACGATTACTTACGAACATATTTCACATGGTAATTTCTCGTAGAGAAATAAAGATTTTACAATTAAGCTCCGTCTCTCGACTCACGACGAATAAAAAAATTGTCAGAATTGGGATAGGGCGGGTGGGCGGGGCTTATATTTAGTCTGGTTTTTCTTAATATACCTAGCCATCTTTTCACAACAAGAAACTTAAAACATGGTTAAAATAGTACGTTTTTGCAAGGAACTATTTTTCCCTATACAAATTTTCCATTTTAGACATGTTTTAAGTTTCTTGTTGTCGAAATAAGTCTGCACATACTAAGAAAAAAAAGGCAAAATGTAGCCCCGCCCACCCACCCTGTCTCAATTGTGATGATTTTTTTATTCGCCGAGAACCAAGAGGGCGGAGTTTAACTGCAAAATACTTATTTCCTTACAATAAATTACATGTTTTTCAGTATCGTGTTGTTCAATGAATATAATTGCAATTAAAAAAAAAAGGCAAAATATGAACCCCGCCCACCCACCCTATCTCAATTGGGATTATTTTTTTTATTCCTAGAAACCTAAAACACGTCTAATATGGCAAATTTTTGTAAGGAAATAAGGATTCTTCCATTAGGCTCCCCCATTCGGCTTACGACCAATAAGAAAAATCATCAGAGTTGACATAGGGCGGGTGGGCGGGGCTTATATTTTGATTTTTTTTTAACTTAATATACATAGTCATCTTTTCAGAACAAGAAACGTAAAACATGGCGGAGGCGAATTGCAAAATCGATATTTCCTTATACAAATTTTTCATTTTAAACATGTTTTAAGTTTCTTGTTGTGAAAAGAAGTCGACACATATTAAAACAAAAAGTCAAAATGTAAGCCCGCCCACCCACCCTGTCTCAATTGTGATGATTTTTTTTATTGACCGAGAACCAAGAAGGGCGGAGTTTAACTGCAAAATACTTATTTTCTTACAATAAATTACATGTTTTTCAGTATCGTGTTGTTCAAAGAATATAATTGCAATAAAAAAAAAGGCAAAATATGAACCCCGCCCACCCACCCCATCTCAATTGTGATTATTTTTCTCCTAGAAATCTAAAACACGTTAAAAATGGCAAATTTTTGTAAGGAAATAAGGATTTTTCAATTAGGCTCCGCCCCTAGGCTTACGACGAATAAAAAAAAATCATCAGTATTGAGATAGGGTGGGTGGGCGGGGCTTATATTTTGCCTTTATTTTCTTAACATACGTAATCATCTTTTTAGAACAAGAAACTTAAAATATGGTGGAGGATAATTGCAAAATCGATATTTCCTTATACAAATTTTCCATTTTAAACATGTTTTAAGTTTCTTGTTCTGAAAAGATGGCAATGTATATTAAGAATCAAACGCAAAATATAAGCCCCGCCCACCCACCCTATCTCAATTGTGATGATTTTTTTTATTCCCCGAGAACCAACGGGGCGGAGCGTAACTGCAAAATACTTCTTTACAAGAAATTAAAATAATGTTTTTGAGTATTGCGTTGTTCAAAGAAATACTACGTATGTTAAGAGAAAAAGGCAAAATATAAAATCCGCCCACCCACCGCATCTTAATTGGGATGATTTTTTTATTCTTCGAAATTTAAATGATAAATTTTTGTAAGGAAACATGTAATGTATGCAATTAGGCTCCGCCCCTCGGCTTACGACGAATAAAAAAAAATCGTCAGTATTGAGATAGGGTGGGTGGGCGGGGCTTATATTTTGCCTTTATTTCAGAAATCGAAAAATCGAAAATTTTTAAAAATCATAAAACTGAAAAATCAAAAACCTGAAAAATTGAAAAACTGAAAAATGGAAAACTCGAGAAATCAACTCGAAGAATCGAAAAATTTAAAAATTGAAAAATTAAAAATCGAAAAATTGAAAAATAGAAATATCGAAGAACTGAAAAATCGGGAAAACCAAAAATCTAAAATTTTAAAAATTGAATAATTAAAACATGAAAGAATTGAAGAATTGAAAAATGGGAAATCGCTATTTCCTTACACAAATTTGCCATTTTAAACATGTTTTAATTTTCATATTGGGAAAAGGAGTCTAACAAAAACAAGGCAAAATATAAGCCCCGCCCACCCGCCCTATTGAAATTGTGATAATTTTTTTAAATCGCCGTGAATCAAGGAGGGGGAGCTTAACTGCAAAATACTTATTTCTTTACAAGAAATTAAAAACATGTTTTTGAGTAACGTGCTGCTCAAAGAATACTATGTACATTTAGAAACACAGGCTAAATATATACCCCGCCCGCCCACCCCATCCCAATTGTGATTATTTTTTTATTCTTAGAAACTTAAAACACGTTTAAAATGGTAAATTTTTGTAAGGAAATATGGATTTTGCAATTAGGCTCCGCCCCTAGCTGTGGCAACGAATGAAAACTTACTATTTTAGATCAGGTATGGGTGGAGCTTAATCTTCTCTTAATCTCGTCTGTCCGTCTGTCGTCTGTACCAATTTTAATTATATATAATATCAAAAACTACTACACCGAAAAATTTAAACATCGAAAAACAAAAAATCGAGTATCTTAAAAAACGAAAAAAATTAAAGAATCGAAAAATTGGAAAACACAAAAATTGTGAAACAGAAAAATTAGAGAATCGTCAAAATTTTAAAATCGAAAAATTGAAATATCGAGAAACTGAAAAATTAAAATCGAATAAACCAAGAAGTGAAAAATGTTAAAAATTATAAATATTAGATACATATTTAAAAGGAAAACTAGAAAAATCGCAAATCAAAAATCGAAAAACTGAGAAATTGAAAAAATTCAAACCGAAAACAAAAAAATATATAAAATCGAAAAATTGTAAAAACAAAGAAAATGAAAAACCAAAACGAAAAATTTAAAATCGAAAATTTGAAGAAATGAATCGAAGAATTGAATAAATGAAAAAATTTTAAATTCAATAATTGAAAAAGTGAAAATTTTTTGAAATTATTCTTATTACGCAGTTAAAATGATAAATAGAAAAACTGCAAATTGAAAACTCGTGAAAGTGCAAACTGAAAAATTGCCAAATTAATTTTTCGATATTTTAAATGTATATATTATATTTTCGGATTTCTCGATTTTTCGGTTTTTCAATTTTCTATTACTATTAGAATTTAATTTTTGTAATCTTCTAATTTTAGATTTTCCAATTTTTTGATGTTTGGAATTCTCAATCTTTTGATTTTTCGACTTTTCGATTTCTCGATTTTTCGGTTTTTGTGAATTTGCAATGTTAGATTTTCGATCTTAAATTTTTCAATTTTTCAGTATTTTAAATATTAGATTTTCGGATTTTCCGATTTCTAAATTTTCCGATATTTCAGTTTTACGTTTTTCAATTTTTGTTTTTAAAACTGCAATTTTTTGATATCCCCATTATTTGATTTTTCAGTTTTTCAATTTTTCAGTTTTCAAATTTGTCGATTTTTCAGTTACCAATTTTCCAATTTTTTTATTTTTTCAATTTCCGATTTTTTGACTTTTCGCTCTCTCGATTTTTCAATTTATTATTTATTAATTTTTCGATGTTTCAGTTTTGACACTTTGTCAATTTTTGGACTTTTCGATTTTTTGAGGTGTTGATTTCTGGGTTTATGAATTCTTCAATTCTTGAATTTCCCAATATTTTAATTTTTCTATCTTTCAGTCCTTTTGTTCTGCAATTTTTCGATCTTGAATTTTTCAATTTTCGATTTCTGGTTTTAATGTTTTCTTAATATACACAGTATTTTTTAAATAACACCATACTCAAAAACATTCTTACATGGTAATTTCTTGTAGAGAAATAATAAGGATTTTGCATTTAATTTCTGCTACTTTGGCTCGGACGATTAAAAAATCATCACAATTGAGACCGGGTGGGTGGGCGGGGCTTATATTTTGCCTTTTTTCTTAACATACGTAGTCGCCTTTTCAGAACAAGAACCTTAAAACATGTTTAAAATGGTAAATTCTTGTAGACAAATATGGATCTTGCAATTAAGCCCCGCCCCTCGATCTGCCAACGAATGAAAAATTCATCACAATCTTTGACTTAATTTTTTTCTTAATATACACAGTATTCTTTGAACAACACGATACTCAAAAGCATGTTTTTAATTTCTCGTAGAGAAATGAGGATTTTGCAGTTAAGCTCCCGACGAATACAAAAAATCATCACAATCGAGAAAGGGTGGGTGGGCGGGGCTACATTTAGTCTTTTTTTCTTAATATGTGTAGACTTATTTCCACAATAAGAAACTTAAAATGGTAAATTTTTGTTGTAATCAATGGCAACTTTGCAACGTCAACGGAAACAGCAACTTCTTTACTGTAAAACCGGCTTTAGTTGCAGGAAAAATGAGGTTATGTTGTCGTCATTGTTCACTGCGGCGAAAGTAAAGCTCTTCAACAGTCAAGAGTTGAACGGCAGCTAGAAACTTTTATTTGATTTATGTGTGCGCTTAAGTGATGGCAGTTTTATTTGCAATTTAATGTTTTATAGTTCCTTCGGTCGTAAAAGTTTTAATAGGTTTCCATAACGCTTTAAGTAAAAGTTGCTCATGGGAAGTTTACAGTGTTGCACGACGGAGTTTGTTATTAGTGAATTGAATTAAGTTTTCAGCTGTGTTTACCGATTCTACGACTGTTTTAATAATTAAAATTACGCGCCCTAGTTTTAGTAATTGAATTAATTGATTAATTAATCATAATTTATTTATTTTTTAGTTACCGAGTGCAATTTTTTCGTATTTTTGAGTACAATAGTCTGCAGCTGCTATTACTGTCTTTGTAAATAATTCTCCAAGTTGAGCAATGAAACGCGAGATTAAGACTTCACAGCAACAACTCCCTCATTTCCAAGTCGTAAAGTCGATAATTACGGTACGGTTTAAGCCGCCTTAAATTTACCACAAAGTATACAGTGGAGGAATTGCACCCCTCTATACATACATAGTCTATACATAAAACTACCCTAGAACTACCCTGGTAAATCTGCGTTACCGTGGTCATTTAGCTTAGTGTTTATTGGCACAGGATTGTAACCTTCAGTTTTATCACAAAGATTTTAAACTCACCCTCGAAAGCAACGGATCAGTCGATAAACAGTAATAACTCAGGAGCATGGCTTAACCTCTGCCAGAAGTGTCGAAGAACAGAAAACCCTCTGAATTTATTGTCGAGAAAGATGGATGAGTTCGAATTGTGTTGGCGCGTTTAGTATTTAGTTTTTACTGAGCAATTTAGATGAGTCGTTTGGACGGGGCGTCGAGGTTTGCCCGCCAAGCAGCAGCGGAGAACCATAAAAGCCAAGTTTGACGATAAGTTGACGGAAAATTTCAGCGATGTCTCCGCTAAGTGAGTTGTTGCCTGTCGGACAAATCCCAGACGCCCGCTACACAGGAGGTCTAAAGGTTTCTACCTATACATAGTTCTATACACTTAAAGTGGGGCAATTCATGCCGTGATGTAGTACTCTCTCCTCTGTATGCACTTTTCTCGCATTATGTAGCAAAGCGCTATGGTGATGAGGACTGCGATAGCGATTCCCATTCCTATGCTGACCCAAATAATCTCTTCGTTGATACCCTGGTACGAGCGGCCTGCAACAGCAAATAACAATAAAACGTGGGCGGTTTTCTCTTTAACGAAGCGAAGTGCCGGATTTTCGAGATTGATCGCATTGATTTCCGCCGAAAAGATTGAAAGGGAAACAGTCGCTCTAATCGAGGAAAGTTGCGAAAAACGGCTCCAGATGTGGCGCCGAGAATTTTTAACTGGCGAAGTTGGTAGGATTTAATGAGGGGTGGCGATTTGCATTGGACGCGGATTAATTCGGAATTTCCAACGTGTTGATTCAAAAGAGATTCTATAGTTTCACACAGGACTTCCTATTCTAAGTAAACTTGGCCGAAAAATGACCCTCCTGTCAAATCAACGCCCACTCCCTCATTTGCAACCCTTTCAACGCCGTCTTCACCCCACCCCCCCTGATTTACAATTAGCTGCTGCGTCTCTAATTTGCGGCGATCGCGTCCCGAATTTAAACGAAGTCGAAGAATACTGAAGCTGAAGATTCATCCCCCGCAATTCATTACTCTCACCATTGTATCCGTTGGAGATAATGCCGGTAACTTTTCCAGCTACTCTGCCCCCGACAGGCATCCTGCTGCAGTTCGGCGGCGGCGACCCTAGTATTTATGTTGGCCCTGGCCCATTCATCCTGAAAATAAATGTCGCTTCAGAGGACGTCTTGTGCTGTCCGAAATGCAGACGTACACAAATTTGCTTTTGTTGCGCTGCCGGAAAACTTGACGTTTCCAACTTTTTCCGGGGATTTGTGTAGTCCGGGAAGGGGTCGGGCGGCGGGCGGAGGCTCGATCTGCATGGGAACGGCGGTTTTCGGATTTTAGGAAGTTTTCAGGTGGTTCGGGCGGTTTATAGGGGGTGGGTCGACAGTGTTTTGTTTGTTTCGGAGGGATGTTCGGCGGAGTTTATTGGTGTTTTGGTTGTGTACGAGTTTGGTACAAGCTGACAAATTTTAAAAATTGGTCGAAAGGTATTTCTACAGAATTTCCCTCGTTTATGAAGTACAGTCCAACGAATACAGCTTTTCTGATAAATTATAAAATTTGATTTTTTTTGCTGGATTTTACTTCTTCGTGATAACCTCAATGGCATAAAAACAACATGGAAGGTACTAGTCACAGACTAATGGAAAAAAGAAGGTTTCACATTAAAAAAAACATTTGACGTCCCCGAGAACGTTTTAAAATTTTTAAAAATAAAATTGGGACCCCCGAGAAGATTTTACATTTTAAAAAAATACAGCTGGGACCCCAGAAAAAGTTTCACATTCTTAAAAATACCCTTTTGGGGTCCCTGAGAAGGTTTCACATTCTTAAAAATATACATTTAGGACCCTCGAGAAGGTTTTACATTTAAAAAGAAAGACATTTGACGCCCCCGAGAAGGTTTTACATTTAAAAAAGATATTTGACGTTTCCGAGAAAGTTTTACATTTTCAAAGATATATATTTGGGGTCCCTGAGAAGGTTTGCCATTAAAAAAAAATACATTTCACGCCCCCGAGAAGGTTTTACATTTATAAAGATATACAGTTGGGAGCCCCGAGAACGTTTCACATTCAAAAAAGATATTTGACGTTTCCGAGAAGGTTTTACGTTTTCAAAAATATACATTTGGAGTCCCTGAGAAGGTTTCCCATAAAAAAAAAAACATTTGACGCCTCGAGAAGGTTTTACATTTATAAAAATAGACAGTTGGGACCCCGAGAAGGTTTCACATTCAAAAAGGACATTTGACGTTTCCGAGAAGGTTTTACAGTTTCAAAAATATACATTTGGGGTCCCTGAGAAGGTTTCCCATTACAAAAAAAATTCATTTGACTTCCCCGAGAAGGTTTTACATTTAAAAAGAAAGACAATTGGGACCCCCGAGAATGTTTTACATTTATTTTTTAAAAATACATTTGGGACTCCCGAGAAGATTTTACGTTTTTAAAAAAGACAACTGGGGCCCCTGAGAAGGTTTCACATTCTTAAAAGTATACATTTGACGCCCCCGAGAAGGTTTTACATTTTTAAAATAGATAATTGGGATCCCCGAGAAAGTTTCACATTCTTAGAAATATATATTTGGGACCCTCGAGAAGGTTTTACATTTAAAAAGAAAGACAATTGTGTCCCCGAGAAGGTTTTACATATATTTTTAAAAATGACAACTGGGACCCCTGAGAAGGTTTCACATTCTTAAAAATATACATTTGGGACCCTCGAGAAGGTTATACATTTAAAATGAAAGACATTTGACGCCCCCGAGAAGGTTTTACATTTTTAAAAAAGACAACTGGGACCCCTGAGAAGGTTTCACATTCTTAGAAATATACATTTGGTGCCCTCGAGAAGGTTTCACATTTAAAAAGAAAGACAGTTGACGCCCCCTAGAAGGTTTCACATTTTGAAAAAAGACAACTGGAACCCCTGAGAAGGTTTCACATTTTTAGAAATATACATTTGGTACCCTCGAGAAGGTTTTACATTTAAAAAGAAAATCAGTTGTGACCCCGAGAAGGTTTTACATTTATTTTAAAAAAATACAGTTGGGACCCCCGAGAAGATTTTACATTTTTAAAAAAGACAACTGGGACCACTGAGAAGGTTTCACACTCTTAAAAATATACATTTGGGATCCTCGAGAAGGTTATACATTTAAAATGAAAGACATTTGACGCCTCCGAGAAGGTTTTACATTTTGAAAAAAGACAACTGGGACCCCTGAGAAGGTTTCACATTCTTAGAAATATACATTTGGGACTCTCGAGAAGGTTTTACATTTAAAAAGAAGGACAGTTGTGACTCCGAGAAGATTTTACATTTATTTTAAAAAAATACAGTTGGGACCCCCGAGAAGATTTTACATTTATAAAAAGACAACTGAGACCCCTGAGAAGGTTTTACATTCTTAAAAGTATACATTTGACGCCCCCGAGAAGGTTTTACATTTTTAAAATAGATAATTGGAATCCCCGAGAAAGTTTCACATTCTTAGAAATATATATTTGGGACCCTCGAGAAGGTTTTACATTTAAAAAGAAAGACAATTGTGACCCCGAGAAGGTTTTACATTTATTTTTAAAAAAGACAACTGGGACCCCTGAGAAGTTTTACATTCTTAAAAATATACATTTGGGACCCTCGAGAAGGTTATACATTTAAAATGAAAGACATTTGACGCCCCCGAGAAGGTTTTACATTTAAAAAAAAACAACTGGGACCCCTGAGAAGGTTTCACATTCTTAGAAATATACATTTGGTGCCCTCGAGAAGGTTTCACATTTAAAAAGAAAGACATTTGACGCCCCCTAGAAGGTTTCACATTTTGAAAAAAGACAACTGGAACCCCTGAGAAGGTTTCACATTTTTAGAAATATACATTTGGTACCCTCGAGAAGGTTTTACATTTAAAAAGAAAATCAGTTGTGACCCCGAGAAGGTTTTACATTTATTTTTAAAAATACACTTGGGACCCCCGAGAAGATTTTACATTTTTAAAAAAGACAACTGGGACCACTGAGAAGGTTTCACACTCTTAAAAATATACATTTGGGATCCTCGAGAAGGTTATACATTTAAAATGAAAGACATTTGACGCCTCCGAGAAGGTTTTACATTTTGAAAAAAGACAACTGGGACCCCTGAGAAGGTTTCACATTCTTAGAAATATACATTTGGGACTCTCGAGAAGGTTTAACATTTAAAAAGAAGGACAGTTGTGACCCCGAGAAGATTTTACATTTATTTTAAAAAAATACAGTTGGGACCCCCGAGAAGATTTTACATTTATAAAAAGACAACTGAGACCCCTGAGAAGGTTTCACATTCTTAAAAATATACATTTGGGACCCCCGAGAAGGTTTTACATTTAAAAAGAAAGACATTTGACGCCCCCGAGTAGGTTTTACATTTTTAAAAAAGACAGCTGGAACCCCTGAGAAGGTTTCACATTCTTAGAAATATACATTTGGGACCCTCGAGAAGGTTTTACATTTAAAAAGAATGACAGTTGTGACCCCGAGAAGATTTTACATTTATTTTAAAAAAATACAGTTGGGACCCCCGAGAAGATTTTACATTTTTAAAAAGACAACTGGGACCCCTGAGAAGGTTTCAAATTCTTAGAAATATACATTTGGGACCCTCGAGAAGGTTTTACATTTAAAAAGAAAGACAGTTGTGACCCCGAGAAGGTTTTACATTTATTTTTTAAAAATACATTTTGGACCCCCGAGAAGATTTTACATTTTTAAAAAAGACAACTGGGACCCCTGAGAAGGTTTCACATTCTTAAAAATATACATTTAGGACCCTCGAGAAGGTTTTACATTTAAAAAGAAAGACATTTGACGCCCCCTAGAAGGTTTTACATTTAAAAAAGATATTTGACGTTTCAGAGAAAGTTTTACATTTTCAAAAATATACATTTGGGGTCCCTGAGAAGGTTTGCCATTAAAAAAAAAACATTTGACGCCTCCGAGAAGGTTTTACATTTATAAAAATAGACAGTTGGGACCCCGAGAAGGTTTCACATTCAAAAAGAACATTTGACGTTTCCGAGAAGGTTTTACAGTTTCAAAAATATACATTTGGGGTCCCTGAGAAGGTTTCCCATTACAAAAAAAGTTCATTTGACTCCCCCGAGAAGGTTTTACATTTAAAAAGAAAGACAATTGGGACTCCCGAGAATGTTTTACATTTATTTTTTAAAAATACATTTGGGACTCCCGAGAAGATTTTACATTTTTAAAAAAGACAACTGGGGCCCCTGAGAAGGTTTCACATTCTTAAAAATATACATTTAGGACCCTCGAGAAGGTTTTACATTTAAAAAGAAAGACATTTGACGCCCCCTAGAAGGTTTTACATTTAAAAAAGATATTTGACGTTTCAGAGAAAGTTTTACATTTTCAAAAATATACATTTGGGGTCCCTGAGAAGGTTTGCCATTAAAAAAAAAACATTTGACGCCTCCGAGAAGGTTTTACATTTATAAAAATAGACAGTTGGGACCCCGAGAAGGTTTCACATTCAAAAAGAACATTTGACGTTTCCGAGAAGGTTTTACAGTTTCAAAAATATACATTTGGGGTCCCTGAGAAGGTTTCCCATTACAAAAAAAGTTCATTTGACTCCCCCGAGAAGGTTTTACATTTAAAAAGAAAGACAATTGGGACTCCCGAGAATGTTTTACATTTATTTTTTAAAAATACATTTGGGACTCCCGAGAAGATTTTACATTTTTAAAAAAGACAACTGGGGCCCCTGAGAAGGTTTCACATTCTTAAAAGTATACATTTGACGCCCCCAAGAAGGTTTTACATTTTTAAAATAGATAATTGGGATCCCCGAGAAGGTTTCACATTCTTAGAAATATATATTTGGGACCCTCGAGAATGTTTTACATTTAAAAAGAAAGACAATTGTGACCCCGAGAAGGTTTTACATTTATTTTTAAAAAAGACAACTGGGACCCCTGAGAAGGTTTCACATTCTTAAAAATATACATTTGGGACCCTCGAGAAGGTTTCACATTTAAAAAGAAAAACATTTGACGCCCCCTAGAAGGTTTCACATTTTGAAAAAAGACAACTGGAACCCCTGAGAAGGTTTCACATTTTTAGAAATATACATTTGGTACCCTCGA